GTTCAAGGATTGCCTAAAAGTATAGGGGATGATAGGAGGGTTTTACAAGACTATTTTCAGCATTGGTATCCTGGTAAGATTTATAAAGTTGTTATGCCTATGGATTTGTGTGCATTGGATGTTTTAGCGACGGAATTGGTTAGAGTTAGGGATGAAATTACTTGGTTGGTTGCAAAAATTGACTCGAGGCTTTTGCCTGAAGATAATGAGGGGGTTGGTGGTGGAGAGGGGTTTTGGGAGCAGTTGCAAGGTGGGGTGGTTTGGCTGTGGAGAAATGTGAAGAATTGGTGGGGTAAGATGATGGATAAGTTGGGGTATACAGATGAAGAGGAGTTGAGGAGATTACAAGAATTGAGGGTGGAGCTGGAGTCGGAGTTGGCAGAGTATAAAGAAGGTCGTGCGCCAAGTTCTGGAGTTGCGTTTGTGATATTTAAGGATGTTTATACAGCTAATAAAGCTGTTCAGGATTTTCGGAATGAGAAGAAGAGGCGGGTCGGTAAGTTCTCTTCTGTCATGGAGTTGAGGTTGCAGAGGAACCAGTGGAAAGTGGAACGAGCTCCATTGGCAGCAGATATTTACTGGAATCATTTGGGGTCGTCAAAGTTGTCTCTGAGGTTGAGGAGATTGTTTGTGAACACGTGCTTGCTGTTAATGCTTTTATTCTTTAGCTCTCCTCTTGCTGTGATAAGTGCTTTGAATAGTGCTGGGCGAATTATTGATGCAGAAGCTATGGATAATGCACAATCATGGTTGGATTGGGTACAGAGTTCCAGCTGGTTTGCGTCTCTAATCTTCCAGTTCCTGCCAAATCTTATTATCTTTGTGAGCATGTATATAATAGTTCCATTGGTTCTCTCTTATATGTCCAAGTTTGAACGTCATCTGACTGTCTCCGGGGAGCAAAGAGCTGTGCTTTTGAAGATGGTTTGTTTCTTCCTTGTAAACCTCATTCTGTTGAGAGCTCTGGTTGAGTCTTCTTTGGAAGGTACAATCCTAAAAATGGGTAGATGTTATTTGGATGGAGAAGACTGCAAGAGGATCGAGCAATACATGAGTGCATCATTTCTGTCAAGATCGTGTCTCTCTTCACTTGCATTTCTAATCACAAGTACTTTCTTGGGTATATCTTATGATCTATTGGCTCCTATCCCATGGATAAAGAAGAAGATTCAGAAGTATAGGAAGAATGACATGCTTCAGCTGGTGCCTGAGCAGGGTGAAGAGTACCCTTTGGTAGATCAAGCCATAGATGCTCTTCAGAGACCTCTGATGCCTGATAATATGTTTGATTCTCCCAGGTCAAATGTAATTGATGAAGAGGGACAAGATCTCTCTGTTTATCCAATCAGCAGAACCTCTCCAATTCCCAAGCAGACATTTGATTTTGCTCAATATTATGCATTTAATTTGACAATATTCACACTGACATTGATATATTCATCATTTGCTCCGCTCGTGGTCCCTGTTGGTGCAGTTTACTTTGGGTATAGGTATGTGGTGGACAAGTACAACTTTCTGTTTGTATATAGAGTTCGGGGTTTTCCTGCTGGAAATGATGGGAGGCTGATGGATACTGTATTGTGTATTATGCGTTTCTCTGTTGATTTATTCCTTCTATCAATGCTTCTGTTCTTCTCGGTTCATGGTGACTCCACAAAGTTGCAAGCCATTTTCACACTTGGAATATTAATAATGTACAAATTATTACCTTCTGATAATGATGGTTTTCAGCCAGCTCTTTTGGAAGGTATGCAAGCTGTTGACAGCATTGTAGATGGACCTGTTGATTACGAGTTATTCTCACAACCCAGGTTTGACTGGGATTCATATTATTCTTGATTTGAAGCTTAACAACTGTATGCAGCTAATCAATTCATCGCTTGTGCTGTTTTGCCCTTATGTACATCTTTCTAGTCTTTGTGTGCGTTGTTTAGGTTTGTACAATATGTCGTTCCTTTTCTAGAACTACCTTTTAACTCTATCTTGTAGCAAGATTTTCTTGCTACTTTTATTTTGAAACGCGGTAAATGTTATAAGACTAACTTCTCTTTACTTCCATCATAAACCTAGATCAATTTCTTTTAGATTTCAACTTGTTGATGTGCTTCATTAAATAGTCTACTTGCTTTTTGAAGGATATTTACATCCTGGCTAGGAGGATATTTACATCCTGGCTAGCTTTATCTAGATTATTATGGGGCATGGGCTTTTTTAAAACCTTAATATGAAACTAGACTAGGTGGTGGATTGTCGAAACTGTTGATTACTGGAATTTGCATTGTTGCACTGCTCGCAAGACACTTATGAAGCCCTTGCTGAATGCAATCAACGAATAAGGGTTGACGAAGTGGGAATTCAAGGGAGAAACGATTGAAGAGAGATTGGGTTTTTGTTCATGAAATATGGACTCCCGTAAATTTGATATAAAAAGGCAGAAAAGGTGCTTCAAATGATTGTTTGGGAATTCCCTAGGCAAGGTTATTCTCTTGTTTGATGTCCTCGTTGTGTGCTCAAGTAAAAAGATATGATAGTTCCATTACGAAAGTCTATGATGGTTTGCTTTCCATTTTTCCAGCACATCAGAACTGAAATTTTAAGAGCATTTTTGACAGCGTCCCATTAGTTTCAGGTCCTGTATAGGAAATGTATATGCTACTGTTTGTTATGTACGGAGATTTATCTTCTTGTACGTTCTGCTGTGAAGTTTGCATATCCAATTTGTATAGTTTGGACCCATATCCTTTTTTGTGTTGAATTCCGGACTGATAGCTTGTAAAATTTGCATGGACATAAGCTATTGTTACTGACAGCACTGGATGTAGACTGGGTTTAGTGAAGGATCTGATGCAAGATACTGTGCGATAGCTTTATATTGAGCTCATTGCAGTTTGAACCGTGAGACCACACATACAGAAGTTAAAACCATCCCTTTGCTTTCAGCAAATACAAATGCAATCGTAGTCGGTGTTTGTTTTTGCGTTCAAGTGTTTCTTTTTAAAATTGCTTTTCACCAGAAAAATCTCCCCAAGCCTTCCATCCGCATGAGACCTCACTACTTGTCACTGTCCCCCCTCGCGCTGAATTGTCCGCAGAATCATCATTATTTATAGCCAAGGAAACTATCAAAATAGTAGGGACCTCTATTGCTCTTTTGCTCAATAGGGATGCGTCGTAGTAAAGGAAAGAACTTAACGAGGTACTTGTGTAAAGAAATTTCGCTTTTATGGATAACGCTACCATTTTGTTTCTGATCCCCATGAACATGGTTTTTAGAAATTATAATAATTTTCTTTCTTTCCGTTTTAACAATTGGTGGAACAAAGCCTATTCTTTTAAACGAAACGAAATGGTCCAAAATTTTGTCTACTCCATGCTAGAAATGTGAAGGTTCATGCCTTTTCAAATTAGTTGCCACATGATTGTCACACCACATTCATGTATGAAAGACATTGCAAATACATGTTCATAAAATGTTAAAAAACGAGGATCAAATACTTGGACCAAATGAATTGGAGGCAACATGAGAAACAGAGAAAAATTAGGAGATCAAAGCCAACTAGTCAAGCTCAAGGCCTAACCTACAGTTAATCTTATCCATGTAAATGCTCTCTTTTACTTGAACAAGGTCAAGAAAACATTGTGGCTCCACTGATCAGTAATTAAGCTCCCATTCCAAACACACTCTCTCTCTCTCCCTCCCTCCCTCTCTCTCTCTGACAATTGTGTGGCTAGGCTCGGTGAACAAATGGATAAATTCCATTTGCCATCACTTGAGTGAATGCTAATGCATAACAAAAGTAGAAATTTTGCAAGTCACAGGAAGGCTGTGTTCTTTTGCTTGTGACTTTGTTTCGCTTCTTTACGTCACTAGGAAAGATGTATCGTCTACCAGTAAAAAGTAATCTAGTTGATTCAGGTTCAAACACAACCAAGAAAGGTTTTGGAGACAATAACCAACCCCTTTGTCCAAAACCCCGCCGGCTTGGACCAGCTTTACCGGAATTTCTCAAGCCCTTCAGATGTAGCAAGCATTGGTACGAACTTGTTCATGAATGTATAACTATTTTGATGTTGTATCACTACTCTAATCTCATTTGGATTTTTTCATCGTCAGCCAGCCAATTACTGACGAAAGAAGTGGAATTCTGAGCCTTGTTGCTGATAAGGTTAGTACTTAGTAATAACATAATTTCAGGCTTTGATCATGTAGCTGGTGCCTAGTTATGATTTTGATATGGATGTCTATTTGTTAGGCAATTGATGGTGGAGAAACCATGTGCACAGGGTGCTCACCATGTTGTTACTCAGGATCTCCTCCGGGAAGAACTGATAATCCATTGGTTCATGATGTTCAGTTCATTCATCAAATGGAGCTTCTTTCACCATTTACAAGAACCAAACTCACTGATAAATTTGGCTTCACCTCTACCTCTCCAATATGAGAGAGTTTTGGGATGGTTGTCCAAAGAATGAGATCGTCCTTCAAATGGGACTTTTTCGCTCCACTAGTACTATTTTTCGTGGTTTTCATTAGTACAAGCATAAGCTATTTTGTTCTTGTTATCTCCCCCCATCTATGCCGTGCGGCTCTCCTCTGTAAATAGCATGAGATGAAAAGGAGCCACTTGTATCTTGTACATATTGCTTGATCAAAAGATGAAGCCTTTTTGGATGTGGATTTTCTATTTCGTTTCATGAAGAAAAAGAAAGAAAAAAGAACTGCATTTACCTAGTGTTCATCCATATAGCTCATAGACGTCTCCTTCTGTTCTTGAGCTGTTGGAATGATTAGCTGTTCCCTGCTAGTTGTTAGTGAAAACCGAGGGGTTTGCCCCTTAGCAAGGTTAAGAACTTGAAACCACCAGTATGACAGAGAACAATCAGAACAAGAAACCTGCCATCATCCCGTCATCATTCCTTTTCTCAATCTGTCTAAAAACATGGAGCCTCAGATAGTGGAACCAATAAAAGCTCAAAACTAGCCCCTTGACCAAATTCCACGCCATTCTCGCCACTATGTCATTGGATCACAAAATAGATGGGGGTCGTTTCTCACCATTTTTTCTCTTTTCTTCTTGAAAATTTTTAATTGGTCCTCTTCATTATTAACATTTCAACTTTAGTCCTTATTCATTTAATTTTTAATTATTTTTTTCATTTATGGTATATTATTTTTTCTCAATTTTATCCTCATTCTTTTGAAATTTTTTATCTTTTTGTTAAAATTATTTTTCTTTTTAATTTCACTTTTCAATCAAAAACTTGTAATTTCCCTCTAATTTATTTTTTATTCTTATTTTTATTTTTTAATTGTTATTTTTTATTCTTTTATGTAATTGATTTTTTTTAATTTCATTCATTAATATTTAATTTGATGAAAATTGAACAATATCATTTTATCTCTCTTTAAAAAATATTTTTTTTCGAAATTATCATGATCATTTTTTTCCTCATTTATTATCATTGTCTTTATTTTTAATTAATTAGAGCTATAACTCGAGTTATAATTTTTTTTCTTTCTCTAAATATGCTTGCAACATCTAAATATTATTTCTTATAAAAAACCAAACCCATAACATATGAGACCTACCTCCCTTGGTGATGCATATGGATAATCCTTTCTTGTTTTGCATTGGTTGGTTTTTTTTTTCTTCTCCTTTTTCTTTTTAATTTGCATGTCTGACCTTTCTTTAATTTGTTTTTTTATTTTTCAATTTATTTTTTCATTTAGATTTAGTCTATGTTTTTTTAATTTATTTTTTTATTTTAATTATTTTATAAAATTAATTTTTTTTCAATTTCATACTCATTCAATTTCCTAATCTATTAAATTTAATCTTTATTTCTTATCGCTATTTATTTTATTTGCATCATTTCTAAAGTTGATTTCTTTTTGCGATTTCATCCTCCATTTTTGTTACTATTTTTGTACTTTGACAAACTTTTTCAATTGATAATCTTTTGTTTAATATTATTTTTCAACATTTAATTATGTTTCTTGGTTAAGTATAAGTTTAACATTTGACAAGTTGTAAATTTACGAGATTAACCCAATTTTATAAGATTCGTTAGGATTCATTTGTTATTCTTTTTAATTAAGCTCATGTTTTTTCAATTTTATCTTTTATTATTTGATTTAACTTGATATTAGCCTCTGTTATTTTATTTTTATTTTCTTTTTATGGGATCTTTCACTAATTTAAAAGTAACTTAGGTTATCTTGAGTCTTTTTTTATTTGCATATGTTATTTTTTAAATTTATCTTTTTTTGAAAGAAATTTTTTTATACTAAATTAAATTTATTACTTAAATATAAGCATCATATGCTCACTTCATGATGTTTTATTTATTAGAAATGGTTTCTCTATTTTGTTTTTATTTGGGTTCATGGGGTTATCGCAGTAAATTATGGTTGGTTTGAGTCGATCTAATATGTAATTATCTCAATATTATTTTAAAAAATAATATCACATGATATATGTTATCTCAATATTTTAAAAGTTTTTTTGTCCGGTAAACATTAAAAGTTTTACTTACTGGTATCTTTATATTTTTTTAAGAGTTGAAAAAAAAATGATTCAACACATTATATATGATATAGTGCATGCCAAAAATCTTGGTGGCTTTATACTAAAAATAGTCAAAAGCAAAGTTGTCACTTTTATTTTATTCTATTCGAGATGGCAAGTATATATTTTATAATTTTAGAAAAAAATGAAACAACTTGGAAAAATTTTATTTTGCTCTGAATCTTAATTCATTATGGACTTCTTAATTAAATTTTAGTTGAGATGTTCTAGTTTTATTTTGTTTGTTTTAATTTATAAATAATTTTTTTTTTAATTTTATCATTCAATATTTAATTTATTGAAAATTGAATTTTATAATTTTTTATTATTTACTTTCTTTGTGATTATTTTAGTCTCAGGACCTGGGTTTGAAGGTTGATTTTGACATGAGATTTTTTTAGTTTTATTTTTTATTTTATTTTTTCAATTTCATTATTTAACATTTTCAACATTTAGTTTATTATGAATTAAAATTTATTATTA